ATTTTACTGCTCTCCCCCTGTCTAGTCCCATTTAGGATTTTTGGGGCTTTTGTTTTTGTTTTTTTAATTAAGAGATTTTTTTTTTTTTGGAGAGGTTTTTTCACTATAGGGCGCATGCACTCACCAGACAGACAGAGAGAGACATAGAGACAGAAAGCGAGAAATCACCCCCCAGGGGGGATGGTCACGCCACAATCCCTTCTCCTCCGTTCTCCTCTCGGGATCTTGGGCACGCACACACTCGCACCTGGCGTGAGTTTCAAGCTGCCAGGTCCAGAACTCCAGCCATGGGCGATTATATGGGAATCCGGCAACGTAACCGTTCACACCTACTGCTGGTTCCCAAGGTGGCATAAACCCCTTTTGCCGTCATGCAACTGAAGCTACAGAGATGACTGACTTGACAGAGGTCACTTAACGACTAAGTGGCCATCATGGAACTCAGCTCACCCAGATCCTTCTGCTTCAAACTCTGTGGCTGAAGCCGAGGCTCTGTTAAGCTGGTATCTTCCCCTTATGGATATTAGGCCTACACCAGGCGTCAGCTGCCCTGACTTCGGAAAGTGTCCACATTGGTTCCTGACCCCCATGGATACAGTGCTGGTTCTTTTGTGCGTTTTTAGTAATTGGCGTGCCCCTCTTCTAATTTCCTGCGTCCCCAGAAGAACCCTTTCTCTTCTGTAGATAGGACGAAGCTGACCACCAGCATAGAAAATAACTAGGAATGTTGTTTCCCTCAGTGATGACCTCCCTTTCAATTTGATTTCTTCTTCTTTTAAAAAAATACTGTTATTGGAACCAGCAAGTGACAAGGTGGTTAAGGGTGCTAGACTCCCACATGGCCGACTTTGGTTCGAGTCCTGGACCCAGTGGTTTGCTTTCTCACTCTCCGCTTCTCTCTCTCTCTCTCCCTCTCTGTCCTTTTCTGGTCAAATTAAAAGAAAGAAAAAGAAAGAAGAAAAGAAAGAAAGAAAGAGAGAGAGAAAAAAAGAAAGAAAGAAAGAGGAAAGAGAAACAGAAGAAAGAAGAAAGTTCAATAAAATAACTCAAAAGATTATTATTATTATTGTTATTACTTTTTTTCTTAGTTTTTGCTATAGGGCACTTGAGATTACTGAGCGAGACAGAGAAAGAGGGGGAGAAAGTGATAAAGTGAGAAGTTTCTCCCTCTCCCCAGGGTGGATGGCCATGCCACAATCCCTTCCTTCTCCTCCATTCTCCTCTTGGGATTTTGGGCATGCACACACATGTGCTCAGTGTGATTTTTCAAGCTGCAGGGTCAGGGACTCGAACCATGGAGTTGGTTATGTGGGACCCAGCCTCCTTAACTTCTGTGCCGCCTGCTGGCCCCTGTAGAAGCTGTATTTTTTTGCAAAAGAATGCTATACTTTTTGTTGATTTGTGTGGAAAAGTGGATTGATTCAGGCTCCCCTGTGGGCTAGACAGAGATACAAATGAAAACCAGCTCACACTGACTGAACACTTACTGTTTGCCAGCCCCTAGACAGAGCACAGTCCCTGGACAGTTTTATTTACTCCTCGAAGTTCCTGTGAGAGTGAGGGTCCTGACAAACGAGGGCTCAGAGAAGTTGAACAGTTTGTGTGAGGAACCACAGCTGCAAAGGAGCTGGATTTGAACCCAGCACTGCCCACTCTGAGCACACGCGCTTAGCCACCCTGGTGCACGGCCTTGTGCTCTATGAAGTGTTTCTGCCTCTTGCAGACCAGGAGATGTCTGACATAAAATAATGTATTTCCCCTTCCCTTCTTCCCACCCTCCATCTCCTACTCATCTATAACTGGTTCACATTTCTGGTCTGTCTTTGTTATTATTCATTTTAATTGACACATAATAATTGTATGTATTTATGGGGTACAGTGTGATTTTTTTTCAGCATATGAATACAATCTTACATGATCCAATGGGGGAATTAACATATTCATCATTTCAAACACTTAGTATTACTTTGTGCTAGAAACATCCAAAATCCTCTCTTAACTTTTTGGATACATACAGTGAATGACTGTAACATTAGTTAACCCTACTGTGTGCACTGTGCCATAGATAGCATAGCTAGTTCACTTTTTTTTTTTTTTTTAAGAGAGAGATTGTTGCTATAGGGTGCATGAGCTCACTCGCCAGGAAGAGAGAAAGTGAGAAATTACCCCCCAGGGATGTGGCCACACCGCAATCCCTTGTCCTTCATTCTCCTCTTGGGATTCTGGGCACACATGCATATGTGCCTGGCATGAGTTTCTAGCTGCCTGGTCTATCTTGAACTGCAGTCAGCCATGTGGGGGAGTCCAGCTTAAACCGTGGTTGGCCATGTGGAAGTCCAACACCTTAACCACCATGCCACCTGCTGCCCCTGCTAGTTTACTTTTTAAGAGTATTTAAATTGGGGCCAGTAGATGGCATAATGGTTATATCACCACTGGACTCCCACATGGCAGACAGTGGTTTGAGCCCCGGACCTGGAGGCTTGAAACTCACACTGGGCACATGTACGTGAGTGCCCAAGATCCAGAGAGGAGAATGGAGGAGAATGAATTGTAGTGTGGCCATCCACCCTGGGGGTTGATTTCTCATTTGCTATCTCTCCATCTCTCTCTGTCCCTCCAATGAGCACATATACTCTTTAGCAAAAATGTTTCTCTCAAACAAGAGAGTACTGAAATTGCTTTGTATATGTTATAAAAAGCATCCGAAGTGGCATTAAATCATGTCTAACAGCCATATAAAATGATATTGTTTATCAGTGTATGTTTTTAATTATCTTCCATTTTCACCTTGATAGTCTCTTTAATATTTAATAATGCACATTGACTTCAAAAAGTTTGTGGGGAAAATGGAATTAAAGTATGAGTTGATTTAGGTGCAACATTTTTTTAAATCCATGTGTAGTTTCATAATATACATTTTCCATGAACTTGTTGAGGACCCCTTCTTATACTAGCCAAAGCCTTGTCACCTGTTTAAAACTACAACATGCCTAAGGGGACTGATCCCCTAGGCTGCCTTCCCTGCCTGCATCAGGCCCCGGGCAAAATAGCAGATCTGGGGATGTGAGGGTACCCAAACTGGGGCTTCCGTTCTGTGCTGCATTTCTACACATACCACAGGCTACCCTTACAGTTACTCCTCTAGGCTGTATTTGCATTTACGGGAAGATTGAGTCAATCAAAGGCCTAGTAGGAGGTGAGGGTGGGGCTTAAGGAAGAGCTGGGCATTTCTGCTTCTTCCTCTCTGTCTCTCCAAGGCTGTATCTCTGGGCTAGCAACAGCTGACCCCAGTCCCTGGCTCCGTTCACCTGCTCCCTTAGCCCATGTGGCCTAAGGGCGGTAGGTGACTTCCTGGTCTTCCTGAGACAGTATCATTGCCCCTGGACCTCCCACCACCTGAATGCCCAGTTTCATGGTTGAATCTTCTCTGTCATAAATAAATAGACCCTTCCATCGTCCAGAGTGGATTCCGATGGATACTCCAGTGTTCTCACCTGTGATGGCAGTACTATTTACAATTTGGGGCTGCCTAGTAGACTAGCTGGATTCCACGTGGCGGACTATGCAATTCAAGTCCCAGACTTGGTGTCTTGAGAAGCATGCCAGTGCATGCACCTGCATGCCCAGAATCCCAAATAGAGGGAGAAATGGAAGAGAAGGGATTGCTGTGTGACCATTCCCTGTGGGGGGTGCTTTCTCCCTCTCCATCTCTCTGTCTCTCTGGCAAGCTCACATGCCTTCTGGCAATTAAAAAGCAAACTATATTGAGGACCAATGGGTGGTGTGGTTGGGGTCCTGAACTCCCACATGGATGACTGCACTTTGAGTCTCGGACTTGGTGACTTGCTCTTTCATTTTCCCTTTCTCTCTGTGTCTCTCTCTAGTGAGCACATGTGCCCTATAGCAAATTTAAAACTAATAATAAATAAAATGAAATAAAGTAATTCTTTTAAAAGAAGCTATTTATAGTGTATTTTAGAGGCATGAGAGATGGGTACTGTGTCGGGTCCAGAAATCCTCACTGGGGGAGCATTCGAACCTTTGTGTTCTTGGGTGTGGTCTCGGGAAACTCTGGCAGAATGTCTGAGGGCTCTGGTTCTGGCTCTCGCTGGGTCACCAGAGAAGTTTAGAAGGTCATGCAGTTCAGGTCACCTTTCTTGTAAAATAGAGGTGGCCCCCAGGGTCCTTTCCTATGGCCCAGTTTCTGACTTAAGCTCCTCCTACAGTCCTCAAGTCCAGGATGCAATGTCCACTTCCCTAGAAACCAATGTGCTCTCCTGTGTACTCATTCCTGGTTCCAGCTGTCTATACGATGTGCACTGTCAGTCCCTGAGGGGTCAGGTGACAGCACAGGGCTGTGCCAGGCCACTCCTTCTCTACCCCAGGACAGACTACAGACAGGCCCTTCTGGACTGACCAGGCAGTTAGTCTTCACCTGGACCCAGCACACTAATCAGAAGTATAGCTCTAGAGACACTCCACTAGAGGGACAGGTGGCGTGTGGTTAAGGTGCTGGATCCTACATAGCTAGCTGTGCATAGTTCACGTCCCAGATCTGGCGATTTGCTTTCTCGCTTTCCCCCAGCCTCTCTCTGTCTCCCTCTCTCTCTCTGGTAAGCACACATACCCTATGGCAAATTTTAAAACAATAATAATAAATAAAATTAAATAAATAAAGAGTACATCACACTGTTCAGCCCTCCTCCTCAATGGACTTAGCAAATGTTTCCAAGATGATTTTTTATATATTCGCCCTAAATATAAACCCACTTGGCAGAATGGCAGATGGCCCTTGTCTGATGTAATGTATTTCTTTTTCTCTGTTTTAAGCACTATCATATT